TCGGTTGTGCACTTTGAATCAATCGAATGGCAGAACAGAAGAGACCATCTCTCGGGATTTTTGTATACATCCATGCTGTCTTCTTTTATTTTTATACATTTTGTTCCCATGGACCAATTTGCTGCAGTGTATATTTATCGCGGGGCGTGCAGCACAAGCAGGCGGCGACTCTCTCGAGTAAAAAGACCGGCCGGTGAGCGCCGCGTATAAAGAAAGATTTTCTTCCAATCCACTCTGCCTTTATTTAAATTTTCATGAGAGAGGGCGAGAGCCGGAAATATTGAATCTGCTCGCAGCGTGCGTCGGCCGAGCAACAAACTCTGCTCTTTTCGCCCTTTCCTGCCCAGCAGCGTGCCGCAGTGCGAATAAAGTGTGCTTTTGCAAAACCTGCCCTATCTCTCGACAAAAGCGGATTATCGCTTGTTACAGCGGCGAACACGGATTATTTAGACATGCACGTCTGATAAACTTGATTACGTCAGCGGCTACTGGCCATCTTTTTTATTATAATAATATTTTTTGTATTTTCAAAGCTGTATCAACATTTAAAAAGGTTTAATTTGATCATTCCCAGTTGCTTCGAGAAAGCTTTGGTGAAGTCAATTTAGACGCATTACACTTTTCCTGTCTTTTAATTTGTTAATTCAAGTGCGTAATGAGCTTTGAATAAAAAAAAAAATAATAATAATAAAAATTGAAATGTTCTTTTTATAGGATCCCCTAAGTTGAAGTTATCAGTCTGACGGTCTTAAAAGTACCTCCTCAGAACTGAAATATATTCATTTTTCTATAATAATTTGAGGCTAGAAGAGTACCTGGCCTGTTTTCAAAAGAATATTCTGGACCACAACCATGTTTATCCGCTATTATAATGGGATTAACATAATCCTAGTCCAATGCGCAAGTTGTTGCAAAGGGCTTAATAGACATAAATGGAACAACAAACAATTAACAAAAACGAAAATAAATCAAAGAAATCGCAATAGAATTCAAACCAAGAACAATATTTAAACTCATAATAATTCGCTAAGAAAATAATAAATTATTGTAAATTTGTAAAAATTCAATAAAATATGCATCATAATTATATTATGTTTTAATTATAAATAAATATTTATATTTTATATAAAAAAATTCTATACATTTTAAATATACTGAGATGTAAAGTTTTAAGCAAATTTTGTAAATTCACTTCAGTTAATTCTAATATATGCCAAAGAAAACCTAAATTTTTCTCCCTAATTTATCTCGATCTTGAATAAAAAGTAGATAAAAATATTTTTCCTCTAAGTTCAATATTTCTAAAATCAAAATTGAAGCAAAGAAATAATTGGAAATATTAGAATTAAAATTTTTTGCTTCGTAAATTGTTACAGATTATTTCTTTATTTTACAACTTATATTTTTAGAATGCTTTATAAAAGACTCTCACATAAAAAAAAAAAATAAGAGAAATTTTGATTTTATTCAAACGATCTGATTGGGTGCAATTTTTGTGTGTGCTCAATCAGAGAACTCAAATAAAACAAGCAAAAATTATGTTTACTTTGATTATATGCACAAATACACAAAAAGGAATACAATATTTATGGATGCGATGCCAGAAAAATAATGGAAAAATGGGACACATCAGGAAAAGTGCAGATGCAGATTCGGCGAGACCATTTTTCAAATTGCGTGCGCAGATTTTGGCGACGAGTATAGTGCAGGTGAGGGTATTTTTGTCCCTGGGGACGTTTTGCTGATGGAATTTCACCTGGCGGCGCAAATGGAACGCAAACAGCCGCTCTTTTTCTTCACGTTGGGTGCTATTTTTTTTGCCAAACGAGACTAGGGAAAACCTCCCGCTGATTCGTTTATCGGAAAATTCGCTCTTTCTCACATCGGGGGCAGGCGGAACACGTTTGTTTAGACGCGGAATCAAATTAGAAAAATGACTTTTGCTACTTCCGATTCGCTGGCTCGATCCCTTTCAACTCGCTGCGCTCTTTATTCGCGCCAAATAAATTTATCCGATTCGATTTTTCCGGCTCGCCGGCGTTTGATTTTCAACGGCATTAGTCATTCGATCGGAGCGAAAAAGGTGAAATGCAAACGGATTTATTTCGATGAAAAAAAACTATCCTTTTTTTATGGGATGATATATTCCTTTTTTTGCCTTTCATGTGAACGGCACGTTTGATGCGGAAGATTGTTTTATGGGGTGGCTGAAAGGGTTGCGGATGCGACCCTTCGCCGCAGATAAGGGAATGATCGAGAACGAAACGACGGTCGCGCGCTGATAAAACTCGTAAACAGCCGCAACACTCGTAAAATTTATCGCGAGCTCCAAATCAAAATCGCATTTTGACGCTAAGCTCCTTTAAATTTTTCGAATCGCAAAAACAATGGACGTTCAAATACATAAAAGAAAATTTGGGTAGTTTTTATGTTAGCTTTTCTTTAATTTATAAAGTTGTATAACAAGTTTAGTTTAATTGAAAAAAAATTATTTGCTTTTAATTAGCCCTCTTTGTAAATAAACCATGAACAGGTCAGGCATGTATCTGTAAAATTTTTCAATCATTTGTTGATAATTTTAGGTACTTTCATCAATTGGCCTTGAATGTTAAATGAAATTAATTCTTTTACACTTTGTGTTTCCTTATAAACAAGAACGTAAAATTTTAAACTTTGAACTATAAAAAACGTTGATTGAAACTTTTCCAAAATGGCAATGCTCTTGCAGGGAGGTGCAAATAAAGAACCATAGTTAAATGTTTCAAATTAATTATTCTAATTTAACAAATTACTGTCCAAATTTGATTGCTCCCAATTTTTAATATCTATAAATTGAATTTTTATTTATTTAATGTAAGATTAATGATGGATCAAATGGGCATGGCAAACGTTTCATACAAAGTTCTGCTTATTTCGAAAATTTGAGGTGAAAAGAAAAGTGACATTGACTCCAGCAAGTTGGACTAAATAATTTAAAAATCAAAGTTGCAGAGCTAACTATTGATTTCCAAGAATTTTCTTTGGTCGTTGGAACTCTCAAATTATTGAAAAATTATCCTAGTTTTTGCTGCTAAAATCTATCATAAAATATTCACTTTCAATTTTTTTTAAATTTATTTTTTAATTTTCTATTTTTTTGATAATTTTAAACCTTTAGTCATTCGTTTTTTGAAGCTGATTTATTAAAATTTTCGCATTATTTGGAAGGCTGGAACTTAAATTTAAATATGAAACAACAATGAATAGAGAAAAAAAATTAAAAAATAGGCTAAAGTTACAATAACTTGTCAATTGCTTTGAAAGTTTTTAATTTTCAATTAATTTTGATAGTTTTTTTCCCTATGCACATATTCAGCGTAAATGAAATGAACTGTTCAAAATTCAACTGAATCTCATTTAGCGATTTAGCGAAATTGGAATTTCCAATTTCCTAACAGGAACTACTTCTCTATAATGTTCACAGTTTGGTTTGTCGCAGCGTATTAATTTTGAAGTAGCCAGCGCACGCAAATCCGCAGACTGTGTGCTTATGTTTGCTAATTAATTTGGGTCCGGTCAAAGTGGAGTTACTCGTACACAGACACACACGCACGTGCCCATCGGGGAACAATCCATTGCGGCGAAAGAAATTCAATTGGCCAATTGCGAACTGTCGCGCGCTCGCAATGGTTATTGCGAACGAACAGGTGCTGCTGCTGTTTGCTTTTAATTAAACGTATATGCATGATGATGACTGTATATGTGCAGCTGTAGAGTGAGAGGCCGACCGTGTAACCGATAATCAGGCTTATTATTTACATACGCTTGGCAATGCGACACAATTTCGGTTCGCTGCCTTTTGAAAACGGTCGCTTTTAACGAGTTGTCAGTCCAGACGTGCCTTTTTAATTAGTTCTGTTGTGTGACTGTATCAAACAAACTCTCGATACCGGAGTCGAAATTGAACGGTTGATTTGATCCTATCGCATATATATTTATACAAAATACTCGCGGTTATTTGCTTTGCAGATGAGCTGATTCTATCTCTCTTCATGATAAATTGTTCACTTTTCCATTCCATTGTATAATAAATTTTATCTCTTGAATGATTTAAAATTTATCAATCTGATTGATTGTCATTTTTTCAATATTTGGTCAAGATTCAAATTTGAATAAACCAAATATATTGTTTAATTATTAAGAATTTTAAGAGATGTGCCAAATTTAACAAAGGCGCATAAAACATCCTCTTAACAATAAAATTGTCCCGTATCTTCGTTTTTTTGCTTTTTTTTTGCATAGCTGGCATATTTTACAAAATTCCTGCGTGAATAATTTTCTTGTTCATTTTAAACTTGTTTTATGCTCTTCCCAGTTGACCCAGTTTGTACTAATTAAAAATTATAAAATAATCCAATAATGTGACAATTATACAATTATAATATCGTTTTCAATTTTAGCACATTTTTATATCCAATTAATGATAAATATGAAGATAATATGCCAAAATGGATCAGCAGCATTGCTATTTAATATATGGGTCAACTTCATCTGCCGAAATGAATATAAATAAAATAAATATGAGTAAAAGAGAGGATTAATTTGCAAGATTATTAGTCATTGAGCTAAGGGGATTGAGGTGAAGGAAGATAAATGTGGCAAAATTTTAATAAAAAAAAAAAATAAATAAAAACATAATAAAAGTTATATCACATTATAATTTATAAAGATAAATAAACTGTAATTTTATTAATATTTTATTACAAAAAACCTAAACTTTTTCAAAACTATTTTTAAATACTATTATGAAGTTAATTTTTTATTTCAATAATTACAAAACGCACCATAACTGATTTATTTCAATTTTTGAGAGATTTGCATAGATTCCACTCAGGATAAATTTTGGACAACTTTTAAAATTAATATTAAATATTTAAAAGTTAATAATATTAATTTTCAGTTTAATGCTAGAAATCACATTTTAAGACACTTCCTATTAAAATCAGTCAAATTGTACTTACGATGCAGTAATTTGAATCGGTGCTTGGACACTCCTTGAGATTTTTCTCTTCCGAGTAATTGATGCAGGGCGTGATGGAGCCGACGCCGTCGTTGTATTGGCCGCACTGGAAGCAGCGAAGGGCCGCGCTCTCTTCGGGCACCACTGAAACATTCAGTTCGCAAGTTAAGTTCGTTTGCGGTTTTACTAGTGGTGCATTTGGCCCCCGACGCGCCGCATTGCAGCTGCCAATTTCCACCCCGGGCATCCCTCGGGCAAAACAACCTCTGACCTCGCGTGCTTTGACATTATAATTACATTAGCTCGGAGAGATTTGCTCTTGTTTTTCGTCCCGACGGAAATCCCGGAAGTGTGGCGAATCAATTTCGTTACAATCGTGCCTGCTCAATTGATGGCCAGCGCCGGCTTATTCTAAGCAGTCTCGTCGGCTATCGCCGCGGCAATTTGTTTGGCCGGATTAATTTGGAGCTGCCCGGGTGTGTTTATCGACAAAGTGATTTATTGGCGAAATACTCTCTTCCGTTACCAATTTTGAGCGATCGCTTTCCAATCGGCCACCCGCAGCCTCCATGGAAATCGTAATCCACGAACATTATGGATGCGGTGTACGTTTTATTATGAAAAGAGGACGCGAATCGCTATCAGTTCCGTGAAAACAGGACTGCGGCCAATAAAAATTAATCTGACAAATTGAGGCATTAGATCTTGCATGAAGAATAATAAATAGCATTAAGCAGAGTAATATTTTCAATATTAATAAATACAAATTTATATGTTTATGGATTCGTTTTGTAAATTTAAAATTTATTCCCAATAATTAATAATTTGTAAAAACTTTAGTGTGTGATTTATTAATTAATTTATACTTCACAATTTCTGCATTGTTTTCTTTCTTTCAAACATTGAAAGTTACAGTGAAAATAAACACTGAATTAAAAAAAATGTGCTGTTTATGTGAAAAAAAATATTCCTGAAAATTGGCTAAAGAAAATCTTGATATTTCTCATAAATTAAGTTGGTTTTGAAAAATTTTAAAGCCTTCTATCCCACTGAAATAATAAAAATACTTTTCACTGATTTCAATAGAAATAAATCAGAATTCGCAAGTACGAAATACCTACAAACACAAAAATTTAAAATTCATAGTAATTTGTTATGAAATAGAAACCTACTTGCTGTGCTATAGTTTTTGTTTTTTGACTTGAGCTAATCAAAGATCACTGAAGTGATTTTAGGACTAATTAATTTTGGTTTTGGGAAAATATATCTCAAGTTAAAGATGTTTTCAATGTTTTATTGAACTGATTTATATTCTTTTTAAGCATACTGTGCTTTGAATTGATGAAATTTAATTACAAAACTATAATAAAAAAAGGGATTTTAGCTCTAAAATCCAAGCAAAGTTGGTTTAAAACTTTTCCGTCGCAATTTAAAAAAGTAAGTTTTTCAAAAATAAAAATTGTAGCTGCGTGAACGTACATATGTATAAATTTCTCACTGACACACAGTGTTGATGCCGTAGGAACCTGCCATGAATTATAATCAGGCTGATTATGCAAAATTTCGCGCAACAGCTGATAAATTTTTTATCTCGCGTGCCGCCGAAATTCGTGTTTCGCCTTCCAACTGAGACCGTAAAAAAGCAGCGGCACGATAAGAGAGTGATGAGCCTCTGAATTTATCTCTCCTTTGTGTCTAGTCGTGCACTTAAGGCGTGCGCGCGTCGGAGAGGATGAGAGACGGCCCGCGAAATTGGCCTCTTACAATTCCGCTTTTTATACATTTTATTGAGAAAGAGGCAGGAGGCTTTGAAGTTCGTTCTCGGCTCTTAAAAATGCACTCCTTTTTTAGGTGAAATGTGTTGTTTCTAAGAACAATTTTAAAGGCAAAAGAATAAATTTTAGAAAACGTATAGAGATGCGTTACTGGACTGCTGAAAATGTTTGAGAAAAGCTCGGGATCTTTTTCCAATATTTTCGATAGACCTTTTTCTTTTAGGCAACAATGGGATTCGGAGCCACAAAAACAACACTTTTCAAACGTGCTGAAACTCAACTTTTTGTGCTTGCCGACATCTTTCTCAGGTCAGGGTTCACCAAATCGCAAAATCTTGGGCATTTTCGACATCCTCGTGAAACAAGCTTTCCACCGCTGTGCCGTTCGTCGCTGCCAAAGTTCATGTTCTTATTAAATTTTGAGATACGCCCAAGATTTTTTTCAAATTTGACATTCAACAATGGAATGTAACTTTCATAGTTGCATCAGACCCAAGAGGTCTATCGCCATTCTCTGAATGCAAAAATAGTCCTGAGCAGAAATTTCAAACACGTTTTTTAATTAAAATATACATTCCCCTGGTAGAAAGTATCAAATCTATTGAAGCGAAAAACTGTTAAGTCAAACTTTAATCCTGGGCAGGTTGCAAAATAATTAACTCCAAAATAAGTAGAATTGAATTAAAAATGGCGTATCAAATATGACCACGTTTTGTGTGTATGAATGGCTAGAAAAGGATTTATTCATGTTGTTGCCAGGGTGGTCTCAGCATCACAGGTGCTCTATAGCCCTCCCCCACCCGCATGTCACTCCCGCATGCTGGAAGTCTTGAGGGTGGAGGCCGCGCGTCGCCTACCCCCAATGCTAGAAGACAACCCTTAGAAGAGGACAACAGACGCCGAGCATTGGAGGCGAGGCGGCGCGCTGCCGAAGCTCCCAAGTTCCTCCCTAACCTGGGTGCAAATTCGACCACCCTTTTCAATTTGTTCAGAATTATTGCAATTTAAAATGTAATCTGTGAAGTATTAAAAATTGATATTGTGTGAAAATTTATTAATCATCAAACAAGAATACTGCTTTTTAAATTTTTTAAGCGAAAACGGTACCAGCAGGATGACTTAATGAAATATTCGCAAATTTTATAAGCTACACATTTTTGTTTCAAAAGAAACCCGCCTGAAAATGAATTCACTTCTACAAGCCCTTTATATCGCAGGTGCGAAATAATTTTTTTTTGTTCATATAGATATTTTAAGTAATTCTTGAAAATTTTATTTTAAAATTCCATGTTATTGTTTTACCTGAAGTGATCCATGTCTGATAAATGCAAACTTTGAAATGAATTGTTCAATTTTAAATTATGGACAAATTCCTGGGTTTTTCCAAATGCAAAATTTAGTTGAAAATAAAACTATGGAAATGAAAGTAATATTAAAATTACTAAAATTTCTCATAGATTATTAATTTCAATTTTTATTGAGGCAACAATGGGATTTGCTGGCACAAATACTAATATTGAAACCTGACGTCATTCTCAGGTCACCAAAACGTCGAACTCCAGCAAGAGTTAACTTTTTTCAGAATTCCCAAGAAACAAGCTTTCCGCCCTTTTGCCGTTTGCTGCTACCGACTGGTGCGGTCTTTTAAAAGTTTTGAGATTATTCTTCTTCACTTGACAGTTAAAAATTGAATGAAAATTTCGTTGTTGCATCAGACGTGGGTCACGTCAGGTAAAAAATACAATGGAATTTTAAATATAAAAGTTCAGGGTAATTCAAGATCCGCTTGAAATATCTATTTTTAACGAAATTTTTTATTTCGCTCCTGTGAAATTTGCGTTATGCCATTTTCAGGCTGATTTCTCTCAAAACAAAAACCTCTTTGTCCGAAGATTTCATGCTTTTTTAATTATTGCAAGACTACTTCTGAGAAAAAAAAGCTTTTGTAGTTGAGATAAAAATTGCAAATATTTTAAAGGATCCTGCTGGTACCGTTTTCGCTTAAAAAATTTAAAAAGCAGAATTCTTGTTTGATGATTTATAAATTTTCACACAATATTAATTTTAATACTTCACAGATTATATTTTAAATTGCAATAATTCTGAACAAATTGAAAAGGGTGGTCGAATTTGCACCCCAGGTTAGGGAGGAACTTGGGAGCTTCGGCAGCGCGCCGCCTCGCCTCCAATGCTCGGCGTCTGTTGTCCTCTTCTAAGGGTTGTCTTCTAGCATTGGGGGTTGGCGACGCGCGGCCTCCACCCTCAAGACTTCCAGCATGCGGGAGTGACATGTGGGTGGGGGAGGGCTATAGAGCACCTGTGATGCTGAGACCACCCTGGCAACAACATTAAAAAAGCCCTTCCTAGCCATTCATACACACAAAACGTGGTCGTATTTGATGCCAATTTTTATTTCAATTCTATTTCATTTGGAGTTCAATGTTTTGCAACCTTCCCAGGATTAAAGTTTGACTTAACAGTTTTTCGCTTCAATAGATTTGATACTTTCTACCAGAGGAATATATATTTTAATTACAAAACGTGTTTGAAATTTCTGCTCAGGACTATTTTTGCATTCAGTGAATGGCGATAGACCATTCGGGTCTGATGCAACTATGAAAGTTACATTCCATTGTTGAATGTCAAATTTGAAAAAATTATTGGGTGTATCTCAAGATTTAAAAAAAAACCGAACTTTGGCAGCGACGAACGGCACAGCGGTGGAAAGCTTGTTTCACGAGGATGCCGAAAATGCCCAGGTTTTTATGATTTGGTGACCCATGACCTGAGAAAGACGCTGAGAAAGCAAGGAAGGTCGACTTTCAACACGTCTAAAATGTGTGTGTGTGTTTTCTTTTTTTAATTTGTGGCTGCGAATCCCATTGTTGCTCTCATGATAAAATTTGTCTTAGCATCATAAAAAAGGAAGCATTGGAAGCAACACGCAACACATTAACAATATTTCTTAAAAAAAAAATTAAATTTAAATTTCAGATTACTCGTGTTTATAGCACGTCATAAAAAATTTACAAATTTTATTTTTATTAATTTTCTAAAAATTGTTAATTTTTCTTGAAGTGCTAATCCGAGCGTCTTAAGATTAAGGTATGGCTTTAATGAATAATTAATCACCAGGCTGGCTAATGAGCAAACCGAGGATTTATCGCTAATTGCAAAATTATTCAGTCTCTTCTCTCTCTCTTGGCTTGGAATTCCGAATGTTGCGATTTGTCGGTGCTGGGCAAGTTGGGTGTCATTTCTGGTGTTTCTCTCTGCGCAAAACTTCTCGCTTTAACGCGTATATCGCCGACGGCCAAATTCGAATAATGGACCTGAGCGGCGTGTCGTAACTATTTCGCCAACTAATCT